TTCTTTGCTACAGCGTGCGAACCTTTGGTGAAGTGATCGACCGCGATCAGGCTCTACAAACTTTGCAAAGTGAAACTTCACTGAAGGAAGGTTGAGGTGACTTTCATAAGGTCAGCGGCTGGTCTAGCTTTTCGTAACCAGGTGGATCTGTTAATGTGGAAAAAGTACTCCTGATAATGTGTCAAACTACTCCTAGAACTCTGGCACATATGCTCGAAATTCCTCATTATAAAGGAACCGGCTCGTCCCTGACAGGTAGCTCGGACGCACATTCCACAACCAACCCTGCAGAAGTTGACAAGATTGGCTACGAATTAGTCCTGCTTCATCCTACTCGGTAGACCTTTTGCCTATAATTGTCACTTTCTCGACTACCTGGATAGCTTCTCCAAAGAGTTATGCTTCAAAAACCAACATGATGCGGAAACGACCTCCGCCGGGTTCATCGTCTCTAGAGCTCCAGTATTCTGCACTACCGGGCTGATTCAACGCAGCTATTATTGGCAGAGGTTTGTGGATTCTAACAGTCTTTACTCCAATCAAAAAGGTTTCGAATGAGCCGAGATACAGGCATTTGAAAATCAAGGTCGAAAAGCGCAAGAACTTTCTTCACGACCTAATAATTAGGTAGTCGTGGCGGTAAAGTAGAAGGGGTATTGTTTGAGAGCGAAGGTAGTCGTTCCTTTAGGATTGGAGGGTTTTTTACAGGTTTTCTCGCAGTGTTGGAATGATTGAATGTAGCGAATGAAGAATGTTCTGTCTCAGGGCTTTTCGTGAACTCTTAATGCTTCAGTCCCCCCGCTCTGCGGCACTTCTGAAGAGAATTTCAAGACGATTGTAATTGTGTCACATTTTATAATCACAATTATGGAAACCGCCACGGTGTCGGGAGGTCGTTTGAGGATCCACTCCAGAATCGTGAGTTTTTGATTTAAAAATTATTCGAACGTGAACTCGGCCATGATGGCAATGGAAAGGTTCGATCTTCTCTGGGTGTACTTATTTAACTGGAAATGCAAGAGAAATGGTAGTTTGTCTTGAAGTTCTCTCAAACATGCCGCAGCTGTACAACATCAGAGAAACATCATACTACAGGGGGGGGGCAAAAAAAAAGACATTTTGCCCATGTCGCACTTCGGCCCTTTTTTCTTCGCAGAGATTGCCGTCGTTGACGGAAGTTCCTCAGCAAAGTATTCCCTAAATGTCCCTCTATAAGTACACGCAGGCCCTCCTTCACTGCCCTCACCGTCTTCAGAATATGACGTCATCTGTCACCGTCGTCAAGCTCAAGGAGGCCTACCGTAACTGCTTCAGCCTGAAGCTCTTACATAATTTCGTGAATCGATTCAATGTTGGATAGTTTTCTAGAGGCATTAGCTCCCACTATGCAAACCCCTCGAAACTAGCTTTCCAGTAAGGTCGTTATGGTACACGATCCTTCGAAGACCCCATTGAGCTCGACCAGTGCACCATGTTTCCGGGGCAAATTTTTCTGATGCCGTCCACGTAGGCCACTATGAAGATTTTCTTATAAATGAAATGTGCTCTTCAATACTAAGTTGGGAACCATTCGGTTTGAATTGAGCAAAGTGTGATTAAATCCATCTGAATGTGGAGACAAAATGTCTTTTTTTTATTGCCCCCCCCTGTATATTTTATTATAAATAGTTAAGAGACCTGTTACTCGTCAAAAATCTTATTAGCCTATTCTCTTATAATACAGTGCGTTTCAAAAGTATAAAGCCACCCATGAAAACTAACTTTCCGAGTTAAGGTGAGTATTTCATGGCTTGCCATAAACTTTATTGAATTCAGCGTGTTTGGAAACCATTGTTCTCTTTATTTCAGGAAACAAAATGATTCACATACATTTTTATAAGAAGATTTCCAAATAT